CTGGGTCACCATACCCCAGGAAGAATTCGTGTAGCAAGGCGGCAAAGCGGGACCTCGGAAAAGCGTGAGATCCGGGATCGACTCCAACACTGGGCTTAAAGGTTGTTCTCTCGGCCCCTTCTTCGTACCAGAAGATTGATTCCATCGTAGACATCCCGATTGCTCTCGGTGTCGGCCTAAAACGCCGCCGCGTCTAGTCGGAGTTGAAGTTTCCTCGCATCACCACGGCTATGGCCATCGAAGTAAGCCTGCGCATCCCTAATTGCCCGTCGTGCGGGAGTCAGGGGCGAGGCGGGTGTGGGTGGATGAAGGGTATGTTGAGATTAAGGACGGGGGTGGGGATGTATGGGGGGTGGATGTTGAGCTGGTTGAGCATGTGAATGGTGGGAGGAGGGCGGATGGGATGGGGGGGATGGGGGAAGGGGATGTCGGTCGAGGCCGCCGCCGGTGGAGCGTGGGAAGGTGAGAGTCGACACGGAGGTGACGGTACAGGTTACCAAGGTAGGTACCTGATGGGTAGGCGTTTTGCGTACCTACCAGGTAGTTCGGTGGTTTATATCTGGGACGTATTGATGATTTATGGCCTGTACTATAACCAAAAGCTCTTTGAGTAGGGGCACCCTCAGCTGCTAGGCGGAGGCTGTATCAATGTTGAACTGGCCTTCCTGGGATTATTCTTTCTACTCCTACCCAAGATCTACTCATTCCCTTCTATCAATAACAGGGTGTGATTTGTCCTCGGCCAGGGTTGCACAATATCCAACTCTGTGACATCTGTGACATCTATGACGTCCATTGTGTGGAAACAGTCAAGGTACGCAGTTAATCACTCCCAGCTCAATCTGGGTTTAGGCGTGTATGTAAGACCACAATGTATTCCAGATACATGTCCTTTCTAATCTAAGTGAGACCAGCTCACTGAATGCACCCGACGTTTCCCCTAGGCATTACAAATTCCCGATCAACTGATTCCCATCATCCCCAACCACCCTTTCCAAGTCATACTATATTGTTGCGGAATGGACCTCTCAACCGTGGCGGCGGGTACAGGGCTTCTTGATCTCGCGGGAGCCGGTGCCGTTGCAAGGCAGGCATTTGACTTTGCCGGCAGGGCTGCAACGGCCGCAGCACTTCATGACGACGTCGCGGGGCCCACGGGTGCAACCAGTGCAGCGGCGGTAACCAGAGTGGTTATCGCAACGGTCGCAGTTGATGGTGACAGTCTCGAAGCCCCGGGGCTTGCTGGTGTCGTTGCCGCACTTGGAACACTTGGCCATTTTGGCGGTTTTGGTGTGTGAAGCGTGAAAGTGACTGTATTGATAAGGTTTGGTGTAAGAGGACGACCGGCGTGTGAATGATATGTCGAAAACACGAGAGGAAATGATTGAGTGGAGTGATGATGATGCGTATGATGTAACAGGCCTTGGGCTGCGACACAAGCTCCTCTTATACTGAAAGACGGCTGTGCATATTTGCCTTTTCCCGTCGTCTCACCGGCCTCCATTGGCCTTTTCCATGGCCGTTTGCTGATCCTCACGCCTAGTTCCAAGAGGCATAATGCCCAGTTGTCGGCGCCGGCAGACCGGTACCCTTGTGAGCGAGCCAACACTCCCTCCCTCTGACGTGACTCCTGTGCCCGGAAGGACGAAATTTGAGACAACATGACAAAGGTACTGATGGCTAGTCCGTCGGCAGCCACCATATCTTACAGTTCAGTGCGTTTCAAACGTCTTAGGTCCAGCCTCAAGGCCAACGGGGTGCGGAAGCCGTGACTGAATGGCGGGCAGGTTTCCAAATATAGCCGCCAGAGGATTCAAAAGATAATCTGGCAGCAGGGCCGGAGTGGACTAATGGTCGCGCCACAAACCTTATTTCGAGACGAGCAGGTCGTTGTCACTGAATGCCTACATGTAAGGAGGCAAGCTGTGACCATGGGAATGATCCGTGGGACGGTCATGTCTGGCCATAACCCATCCAACAGTTACACGGGTCCAGGCCTGGTCCCGCAACGAGGCTCAGCTAGTGGATAGGGGTTTGTAAGATCTCGTATCGACGATTCCTTGAGTTCTGAACTCTCCTCCCCCACCCTGGTGTTGGGCTATCATGGATGTTCATATGATTCACTGTGAGCCATCAAAATATCCACTGGGTACGCATTACATAACACCGCGGTATCTTTTGTGGGCCAAGATAAGTTGACTTGATTGAGTATCGTCTTTCTCTGCTCGAAAAGCGCCGAGGTCATCGCCCTCAAACCCCCTTTGTTTGAGAAGTCCATGTTATCAAGACCACAACTGGAACTAAACACCTTTTTTCCGACTGATCGGGCCAGTCCTAAGCGGAGGGTTGGGGACAAATACAAAGAGGTACAAATGATACGCGGGCTACTCTTCCGATGGGAATCGGATCTGCAGAAGGAGTGCAGCATCCCAGCACCCATCATCGTGACTTTCCCTCATGGGCTTAGATTGGATGTCGTTGCCATGTTACACAATATGTCTGACCACCCTCCCAAATCCTACCCTGAAGAACCAAGCGTTGGAAAAGGCACAGGGTCAGGCGGGTCCCCTCCAGGTTGTTAAAACAGGTAAAAGAGGATCCGTATCCATTGAAAGGATTTGTTTGTTGATGCCCTTTCACTGGAGCTGTTTGACAAATTCTCGTTCGAAATCGGCTCTGTACGCATCCTCGCAAATTCGGCATTCCCTGCCGTGGTGAACCACCCTCTTCGTGTTCTCCGAAACTGGCTGGACCCAGTGTTACCGGACGTAGGATTCCCCTCCCTGTTAGCAGATGGCCAGTTGTCCTACGGCTGGTTCCATGACCCCCCCTACGGAAATCTTCTTACGGGGCCAACCAGCAAAGGCTACAAGACCGCCCGATCCCCAGCCAGCCAGCCCGAGAAGCTGACGGGACTTTACCACACGCTACACGGCATCAACTGCATCTCTGGCACGTACATCACGCCATGGACACGGTTGTTCGGAGGTAGTTTTGGGGCGCGTTCCAGAGCGCCCAACCACCTGGTCGCCGAGCGCTGTGCTAACTTGCAATTCCAGGAATAGCATGTTCTTAGCCACGGGTCCAATACCAAGCACTCACCTATCACTTTAATGAGGTTGTTGATGAGTGCCATCAATCATTGTCTCCTTGGTGGGAAGAGACATTGCCGATTGCTACGTTGGTTGTTAAATGCGAGCGAGGGAAGAGGAGGAGCGGTGGGAGGAATGAGAAAAGGAGAAAGAAAACCAAAGTAATATATGATGCTGTACAACCATACATATATTGCCTGGCAAGATGGTTTTGCATTCACAACTCTGAGGTAGGCGTTGTTGGACGGCGACGAAGACACTGTGGTGCAGCTGAGACTGACACTGCCCAAGGAGCTCACTCTATCTCATTAATAGCAGGTACTCCAGAATCTAATTCAGGCTATTCCAATATCTCCACTACAAACGGGTGGTAAGTGTAAATGTGTTGAATGGAAACGCATTCCAATCTGTGACAAAGTAAGATCGAACATGTTCTTGCGGCGCTGCCGCTTAGACGACTGGACGACCCCTTTGTTACCAACACCATACAGTTATTGTTCCTAAATCAAGTAACGGAACCAATCGAAATGTACGACAAACATGAACTTCTTACGTATAAGTCAACCCCCAGGGCTTTCCATTTCACTCGCACCTTGCCCCATTGATGCTCTTCCCCCTGCTAATTGTCCCGAGTTCGAATCTTGGTCTAACGCCCCCTGCCGCCGCCATGGAATATCCCCTGTATGAACTGACGCCGGAAGGACTAGAGTCCTTGCGTCGGAGGATTCCCTATACTGTGGTGGATCTTTATCATCTATTCCGTTTGGTGCTGGCGGGTAACGTAACTCCTCTCAAGGCTCAAATCCGCAAGCTCGCAGCCGGTACCCAGTAAGTAACCCTCCCTTATACCCTAAGGAGGCACGACGGTCTCTATATTTCCCAGTTGCATATGAGATAATTTCTAACATGTTTCCTTTTGAATAGAATATGCAACGAAATGATGCTGTTCCATGCTCGAGATCGGGAAGGCCGCAACGTATTTCACTACGCCGCCATAAGCCAGGACCTCAAAACCCTTACATTCCTCTTAATCCCAGCGGTCCTGTCCGACCCGCGAGCCCGCATCAACATCAAAAGAACCGCCCTCCTCACGCGGAAAACCGAAAAGGGCGAAAACACCGCCCTGTACGCCATCCTCCAGCGCTGCCCACCAGAATTCCTCGACCGCATCGTCTCCGCCGCCGGCCGCTCCATCATCGAGACGACCACCACCAACGGCCTCGGCCCGGTGCACTGCGCAGCCATGGCGGACGCGCCCGACCTCATCATCCACCTGGTCACCAGGCACAAGCTCGACCCCACGGAGCCCGTCACGCGCGCGCCCCGGCCCGAGGACCCGCCCTACCTCTTCCCGCGGCCCGTCGTCGGCGACACGCCCATGCACCTGGCGACGCGGCACAACTGCGCGGGGGCGTTCAAGGCCCTGTACGAGGAGCTGGGCCTGGCCATGGACTCGCCGCGCAACGCCGAGGGGAGGTCGCCGTTCGAGATTGCGGTTAGAGAGAATGCCAAGGCGGTGCTCGGGGTGTTTGGGCTGAGGAAGGCGGTTAGGGGCGTGCCGTTCGTGAAGCGGAATCGCGGTGTGCAGTGGAAGCCGGAGAAGAGGGGCGCGGCGGAGATGAGTTAGCTCCTGTTGGTAGGCACTTGGCCTGCCTCCCTATGTGGTGTCGGGGTGAGTGCAGCTCCTTGCCAATGGGGAGACAAGTTGTGAGAGCGACAGCGTTCTTGCAAGACTCGGGGTAGGAAAGGGGAAATTACATACACGTCATCAGTCCCCCATGTTCTTTCAGGTTGTTTCTCGCTGGTTTGTGTCGTCAGTGGGGAAAGGCCGGATTGTGTTTTGGGCTGGGGTCTACCGTGCTTTTGGTGTGTGATGGATAATACTTGCTGCCACAAGCCAGTTACCGTAGTGGGAAAATGTGCTAGGCAAGTATGATACTTGGCCTTCCAGGAATGCAATCTATCGTTGTCTTGTCAACTATCATTCCCAGAGCAACTAGCATACCTCGAGCAACTAGCATTCCCGGCGTTCCGCTCTCTGATTGGTGGTTATTTATGGGTCCTTGCCCCATCCGACAGATTGATCAGGACTCGTGGCAATGGGACTGCCACTGCAACCACTGTAAGCCACTGTAAGCCACTGTAAGCCACTGTCTGGTGTACGCCTCGCCCAATTTACAAAAGCACAACGCTGGACAAGATGAAATCAAGGACTGAACCAGGTTTTTTATTTTCTTTTAGCCACATAATCCATTCTTGAATACACACTATATACTACTACTAGCAACGATTGAATACGGCAGTACAGGGGTAAAACCGGTTGGAGGTCACAAGTTAGAGTATCCTTCTGACTCTTGGTCATCCACCGGGGTGTTACGTCCAAGCCTGGCTCTCTGCTGCTGCTTTCCAGGCCGAGACATGGGTTTGCCGGAATCCCCGCCACCCGCACGTTTGTCCCGAGAGGCCAGAGTACCACTACGTCTAGCTGTGACTCCGCGAGTATTAATGTGAGCTTCCTGCGTGTTGCTGTCAGCTTGCAGAGCACGCTGAGACTTCCTGCTGTTGCGGTTCGAAGCGCGGGTAACTGGAGTGGCTTGGGCGGTTGTGGTAGAGTCGCCTGCGCTAAACCCCGGCGGAGATGTTTTCGCTGCCGGGGTGGCCTCTGTCGTCGGAGCGTTGACAGTTGCACCGGGTGTTGTGCACTGCCCAGTCTGTTGCTGCACCACCGACCGGCTGTGGACGCTGCCTGTATCGGATGTGGGGATGATGGGCACCTGGATCCTGGATTACGGGAGATGAACTGATCTGGTAGCCAAGCTAGGCCGCGTAGGTGGCGGCGATAACATCCTCTGCGATGTTGTTCTGGTGATGCCCTGGAAGTTCGATGGGGTTGTTCCGGTGGGTTGGCTGACACTAGGCCCGGCCAAAGCGCCGTGTGCCCCGCTGGCCATCAACGGCGGCGACATTGTGCGGCTTCTCATAATCATGTGGTGGTGTTGGAAGTGGTGGCATTCGAAATACGGAAGCTCGGTTGCCGGTGCTACTGTTTGAGGGTATCCAGGGTCTGGACAACGAGCTATTCAAAAGGGTTAGGGCGATGGCCACCACCGAAGAACAGAAAGAAACAACCTTCAATTGATGATTTCTGGGCTGCTCGAAGCATCTCCAACCCACTGTTGTAAGCTCCCATCATCCGTCTGATAACCGTGGAATTGTGGCTGTTAATAGTTTCCAACAGGAGCGAAGGAAGGAACGGCCTCCTCTGAGATTTTTTCTGGCAACAACTCCTCGCCCACTCACGAGTCCTTCGATTTCCTCCCTCTAAAACCCTCCCACATCAAATTTTTTTTACAACACCATCAACACCATCGGGATTATTGACAGCGCAAATATGGCCGACCAACCGAAGGGTCTAAAGTCGCGCCGACTTTGCAGCACAGCACGTAAGCAGCATCTATCGGCGCAGAACCCGGGGCCTCAATTTAGAGACAACTGCGCCAGTCATCGATTGAAACCTCTGCTTTTCCCGACGGGTTCGGCGACACAATTATGAACGACAACGACGGCGATATCTATTCCGCGAATCCACGAATCCCGGAAATTCACACCAGCAGGGCTTTGTGAAGAGGAGCGTTTTAGTCCGGGCAGCATTTTCCTAATCGTACTCGGGTAAGTCCAGCTTCTTGTCTAAGATCCCTTCCCTATTGCTTGACTGCCAGCATTTTCCACCTTTCGGGGGTGTCGACTCGATACGGGCATAGCTTTTAGCCTGCCCTGTGGAATGTTGTTAATCTTGTATTTGAAGCTAACACTGGCGTGGTAGGCCTCATGCATCGGACTTTGGCGAGGTTATTAAAGCGCTGAAGATGATGGTTCATCTCGACGCCGGTATCGTCATGACTATTCGCGACAAAATCGTCCGTGTTTGCGCATTTGCGATGTTACATTGGCGATATGCCTCAACAGGCCGAGAACTCCGGGTTCAAAGGCCCACGAGCACACAAGTTCTGCAGATGCTGTTTCGCGGACTCCGGCCAGCGCGCTGTCAATCCCGATGTTATGCTCAAGTTCGATCATATCACTCACGGCCCGGTTTCACACTCAGACCCTGGAGATGCAGCAGATGCTGCACCGCTCATTGCAAACTGCGTCGGAACGGAAACGATATTGTACGCAGTGAGGGATGGCTGAAGATCTGCCGGTACTTCCCCGCCTGTCACCGGCCCTTGATCTGGTCATGTCACGGCCCATCGACGCAGCACACTCTGAGTACAACGGTCTTGGCAACTTGATGCACTTTCTCCTTCGGGATGGCATTCTTACAAAGTCAGCGCGCTCGGAATATGCTATACAGCTCCAGACTTGGCCTTACCCACCGGGTTGGCCACGTTTACAGTCACCGGTTCACCATTTATCAAGCTACAAGATGTCTCACCACGCGCGATGGATCGTCATTATCCCAGCCTTGCTCCTAAACTGGTTAAAGAGGGAGCACATTCGGCCAAGGTTCTGGGACCAAGCTAAGAACCACGAGAAAGATTCGATTGAGTTGATCATCGAGACTACTGCTGCGATTGCAAAGAGCACTACCGTTCTGATGGGGACTCGTGTGTCGCGTCGGGACCGTTACCTCAAGGGCAACATCATTTACCGGGCTCGCTACCTTTTCAACCAGCTCTGTTTACTTGCAGCTGTGACCTCAACCGGGTCGTCTGGTGCGTCACACGCAGGGACGCCGGGAGTCCAAGTTATCGATGAGTCAGTTCTCCAAGACGGTGTCGTTGATGATTCTGGCCGGGCATTACAGTACCAGAACGACACATTGCGCCCAAATATTCATGTCGCCGTTCATTTCCCAGAATTCGCGGAGGAGTACGCTTTACCTGTCAACTGTAACACACTCACAGGCGAAAACTTACACCGGTATGTCTAACTTCCGTCGGTAATTGTCCCTCACCTGTAGTTACCAGCACCCCGCTTGATAGACCTTCACCGGCAAACCCCAGACCCTTGGACTCAGCGACATTCGTGTGGATCTGTGTCTGGCTCTTGTCGCGAAGTGATCTGGGCATGGCTCTGGCACCATGCTTGGAGAAGGCCTGCCAGCAAACACAAGACCGTTGAATCCGGAGAGATTCGAATCCGCGTCGCCCATGTATCGCTCGCTTCACCTCGATCTCTTCGGCCGGGTTTCTTCGAACAGACCTACCCGTCTTACCGTCTGCTAACGTCTTCTAGATACTTCAAGACCCGTGTCTACGAAACAAATTACTCCAACGTGGAGAAGATCCTGCTGATGAAAGTCAATTTCCAAGAGACGATGCGCCTGCTCCTCCAGAACGCTTTTCAGCATGACGACCCGGAACTCACCAGCGAGATGCTTGCACTTTACCAGCAGTGCCCGACCCTTTTCAATACAGTACTATCTCGAACGGACCGAAATGAGATGGATGCCCTGCTCGATGACGAAGACCACGAGATGGAAATCGACCAGTCCGCAGACAGCAATCATCTCAGACCGGCTGCGATCAATCGTATCCCAACAAAGAGTGTTGTCGCAACCCACCCAATTAATGATGGGACCGGAATCTGTGGGAAAATGCAACCAAAGCCATGAAACGCACCAAAAGAGTGGGCGCGCTAATTGTGTTAACCTGGTCGGTGCAATTTCCGTCTATTCAACAGGATCTCCACTCTCGAGTACAACGGCAAAGCGACAAAGGTACCTACCAAGTATTCTACTTTGCAAAATGGAAGAATGAAGACGAAGAGAACGGCAGAAAATATACTACATATCCCACGGTGTACTCCTTAATTCTGGGCAAATAGAACCGAACCCGCTGGCTGTCTACCACAATATCCACTTCGGCACGGCGCTAATGTTCTGCAGGGAAGTGGCACGGAAGTGATCTGCTGTAACCCTCGGGGCCTTGTGCCGGTGGGCCGGGATACCGAGTGGAAGGATGATGGTTAAAGGGGGAGGGGACTCCATTTCGTGCTTTAGTTCTGATCAACAAGCTCTCTGGCTCTGTAAATTCGATTCCTTCCATGATACTCCCAAGCGGCATGCGCTGTGGCCGCGCATTCCTGCTCGCCCTTGGGCTTGTATGTGCTGCCCACGGGCAGATCAGATCAGACGTGCCCTCGCCCGAGAATTTCTATCGAAGAGGCGGGACTACAGGTGCGTCTCGCCCCCGCCGAGTTCCAGAATCGATCTGGTCGGCGCCACAACAAGGTGCAAGGGTCTAACATTGGCGACGCCGACGAAAGCGACCGTCCTTGGCAACTACGTCTACATCGATGGAGGAGAAGTTTCCCAGATGATCGATGGCCTTGAGCCGGATGCCCAGCAAATCGTGGCCAATCGATGTAAGCCGCAAGTCAAGCACCTCTCACAGCATGTGTCTGCTCACGCATATCTCCAACTTCCCAATTTTTTAGTAAACACGACAATATATATCGACCTCTCCAAGTCATGGACCACGTCTGATGTACGCATGCAACAGATCGCCAAGCCGTGGACGGGGAAACGCTTCATGACGATTTGGACAGATCTCGAAGGGGGCCACTACTATCTCTGGGGCGGCGAATGGATATCTGGCGAGAGGACAGGGACGGGTGATGACACTCTGTGGAAATTCACACCCGATGCTACAAATGGCGGAAGCTGGGCTGCCGCGGTTCCGGAAAACCCAGGCCTATTTCAACAACTCGCCGTGACCAAGCTGGGTGCCTTTGCGAGCACCAACAAGACGGGCTTTGTAATCGGGGGACTAGTGTCGGCGCGGACAGACCGCACCCAGGTGCCCCGCTACCAGCAGGCTGTACCGGGGATGGTGGCTTTCGACATGAAGACGCGGGTCTGGGAGGACGGAAATTCGGGGTTCAGCCCCATCGATGGCACTCTGGTGGGAGCTTCGGCCCAATGGGTCCCAAACATTGGGCCTCATGGGTTGATCATGGTATTTGGGGGAGTTGCCCCCGTACCTATACGGGAAACAAACTTCGCCGACGCACCCCCGTTCGATTTTCGCAACTTGACCTTCTTCGACCCCGAGACAAAACAGGCGTATTGGCAGATCGCTACGGGCAGCATCCCTCCCAGTCCCCGGTCTAAATTCTGTGTCACCGGCTTCCAAAATGCTGATGGAGGTTACGAAATGTGAGTACAATTCAGTTACTTTGTATACCTAGCTTGGTGTCATGTTTGTTGTTATTAACGAATGTCTCCCAGCTTCCTATTCGGAGGGACTGACTTCGCTACCGAGTATATATACAACGACGCATACATTCTCAGTTTGCCAGGTTTTGTATGGACTAAAGCCCCAGGCTCACCATCCGGCAAGCGTAGGATGTTTAGCTGCGTATCCGTCGGCCAACGGCAAGTGCTCAGCATAGGCGGTACTCTCCGGGAACTACGATGAGAAGGACCCGGCTGCCCAGGGGTTACAGTTGTTTGACATGACTGAACTGAAATGGAAGGACTCTTACGACGCGAATGCCGCGGCCTATCAACGGGCTCCCGATATCGAGGCGTGGTACGCCAATGGGTTGGTACCGTGGCTCGTTTTCCTCGACCTAATACCATGCTAACAGAACGAAGGTCTCTCGCCAGCGTCGAGTGGTCATCGGATCAAGTACGGCGGCTCTTCACCACCGACAACCCAACAGGTATGTCCAGAACCCTTCTCACACATCACACATCCACGAAGTCCTGTTAACCGTCAGAATTCCTAGACACGACATCATCATCACCATCACCGTCGTCATCGGATTCGCAGAGCGGCCCGGGTGACTCGGCCACCGTACCCGACTCCCAGAATACCGTCCCCGTCGGGGCAATTGCCGGAGGAGTTGTCGGAGGCGTCGCCGGGCTAGCCCTTCTTGCTGCTGCGGCTTGGTTTTTTATGCGTCGGCGCAAAAACAAGGCTTCTGAGGCTGCTAGTTATTATTCTCCTGGAACCCATGCTCCCGAGTTTGTAACCCCAGGCATCGACCCGCAGAAATGGCACAACAGGGGCGCGGAGCTTGAAGGAAGTTGGGTGGACCGACCAGAGCTCGCAGCTGACCGCGTATTCGTTGAGCTGCCAAATGGGCGACGGTAGTGGTGACCCTGTGATGAGGGGTTAAAATGTAAATATTAATGGGAAGGCTTGGCTCTTCTATTCTTCTTGTACATACGATATTGATAACTTGGTTGCGATGCCAGCGTTTCGACGGCTGCTCGACGTCAATCCAACTTTGACCCGTCAGGGCACCAGTTTCGGGCGGCGCGCTGCCGATTCTGGCCACAAAAGTTGACGAACAGGAACTACCTAGGTAACAAACAGAAACGCGAATGACGGAAAAATGGAACTTGGTATGTACCTATTTGGAAGCTGCGAAGTGAATTAGATTGATGGTCAAAGACTCAAGGTCCTTCCTCCGGTTGGCCTTTTCTTAATCTGCATCCCCCCGCTTCAAAAACCACGTTAAACAAGTGTGTGAATACAACCATAAGAAGATTGAGACGGCGGCTAGCAGAATCGATAATTAGTTCATCATACAGATACATCTCGTAAAAAACACGTTGTCTTGTCTTTTGGGTTGCTTTTGGGTTGGCTGCTCTGGATTGGTATGGGACCCTAACCCTTGCACGCTTCGCTGAGTCACTGCAGGCCTAGCGGGGTCGGCCCACATCTGCCTGGATGCCAAGTTCTCCCACATCAACAACGAACCCGTCGATGTTTTTGACTTCCATCGGCGAGCACATATTAAATGACCTTCGCGAGAACATCGTTTGCACGAAGCTAGGGCGACCTTGGACATTCTAAGTTGCCAAATTATTTTTTGAAGACTTCTCTGCTGAGGCAAGTGGTCGTGACACATTTTCTCCTGCCTGAGTTTCCCGTTTCCAGTTTCCAGTTTTCAGGCTCTGAGACAGCGGACAGCCCGTAACACAAGGCGGCCGTCATTTCGACTCTAAATATCTCTCGCGAGGTTAACGTTGCTTTCCTTGTGCGTACAACCATTGTACCGCATTGCGGCAGTCGCCCCGGGTGACAACAGTTCTGGCCCCTAGGGGAAATTAGCCACGACGCGTTTGCGTGGCCGACCATCATTGTGACCCGATCCCAGGTTGGTGAGCCACTGGCCATTTCCCGCTTCCGCACTACAGCTAAGTTTCTTGCCCGTCTAGGAAGTTGTGGCGTTATTCACCCCCTGTCCTCCGTTTGGGTGAGGCTCATCTCGGGGCACACACATCACTGCATTGCGGCTCAGTGCCTGGTACCTCGACCGACAGGGTACTCTGTGCTACGTCTGTCTGCTGGCGTCCTACTACACCAACTCCTCGCAATGTCTAACCACTCATCTTGGCGGCTGCTGCCGGCCACCGCTCCGGGAATCCCCACCCTTCTCGTCTCAACAGCCTTCACGGCCGACTCCTACAGCATTCATTTCTCAGACCTCGCCAACTTGTGGGTCGAGAGCTTGGAAAGGAGGCCTATCATCAAGCGAGGGATGGTGGAGGATACGAGCATCGACCCCAGTGATGGCCCCGACCAAATCCGAAAGATGCTCGAACTCCTGCGGGCCGCCTTTGACACCAACGATGCCGAGCACCGAAGCACGTCGCTGACTCTCTCGCGGGGCGATGATGACGACTCCCTCGTGGTCCACGTCACTTGTGTACTGCCAAAACCGTTGAAACCCTTCAAGTGGCCAATGCATTTGAAGAAATGCCCACAGTCAGCCCTCGCGTCCGAACTTGTGCTCCCCATGATACAGGCACAGGAAGCACGCGCGCGCGAGATCGACCAGCTTATCGCGCTCCTTCAAGAGAAGGATAGCGTCATCTCTCGACTCATCGACAAATTGGAAGGCACGGGCACAGGGCTCGAGTACGTCTTCAACGCTCTGTCTGGAAAGCGTAAGGTCACTCGAGCCACAGCTGAGGGACGGGTCAAGGGTCTTGCCCCCTTCGCAGAGTCCGAGTTCCGGAGCCAAGCCCCAAACCTTCACACCATCACGCAATCCTCCGACGTTTCATCTCTCTTGGGCTCGGTTTTCGGTCCTCCCGGCCTGCAATACAAGTCAGACCTAGAATTAGAGGCATCAACAGCGCTGGATGGCTGGTGGGCGAACCTATCCAAAGGCGGGAATGTTCTTCTGTCGGCGCGCTCAGAGAAAGAGATATCACAAACGATCTCTACACCCCGAGGGCCTGAGGTGGCCAAGGAAGAAGATGACGACTTCCAAGTCCAGGCTACACCACCAGGCGTAAAGTCCACCCACAAACGCGGCAGCCCTTCCAAGGTGGTCGACGATGACGAGACCTCAGACGGCGAAGACACGACGGAGGCACCAGCTCCCGCCGCATCCCCGGCCAAGCCCAAGGCAGCGGTATCCAAGCTTGGGACAATCGGTAGGCATACAAGGCCATCGCCGCCTCCACCTCCCAGCGTTCCAGAGCGGTCAGCCAAACCCCAAACCGCAGCGTCCGATACCCACTCCGAGACGGCTTCGGAACTGGATGAGGATGGCACTGCCCACGTCTCACCTCCTCCACCCCCCAAGCCAGTCCCAAAACGGGGCGGCTTGGGCCGGATTGGCGGCAAACCAAAACAAGAAGAGCCATCCATACCCGCACGCTCACCGTCTCCAGCGGCCTCTCTGGAGGAGCCGTCAAGCCAGTTGCCGAGGAGGAACAAGCTGGGTATGATTGGGAGAAAGGCCGCAACCCCAGATGCATCGGCTACCAGTACGAGCGACGAGACAAGGGGTCGAAGCAAAACCCCTGCTCTGGAACCCAAGAAAGAACAAGTGCGGGAGACGTCACAAGAACGGGCTGATCGCAAGCGGGCTGAACTTCAGAAAGAGATGGAAAAGCGAGCCGCAGCAGGCCCGGCGAAGAAGAAGCGGAAGTTCTAATATTGGCTTGTCACATGAAAATGTCCTCAAAGATCTGCCATCTCCTTGCAAATACCAAGCAGCATGCCAGTTCACATTGTTAATGTCTCGGAAATTGATTACGTCCCTGCTTGCTGTTTGTCGCGCCCGCCTGATCGTAACACCTTCTCCATCTACTCGCTCGTCGAAGGCTTCATCAGCACCACCAGCGCGCATTGTCAAGTACAAAGGTGTTGACTTTCCTATCAACAAAAAAGACCGACCTCGGTCCACCAAAACGTGAACGCGGGCCGCGGATACCTACCGGGGACCCCCACGTCGCACTAGGATGTATGTACGTGTCCGCTTCCGGGCCTACTCCAGCGTTTGTACGCCCCCCACTCAAGTCCCATGCGTCATGCAAATACACCGGGGCTGACAGGAGGCCGTCGAAGGGCTAGGGCCTGGCAGTCAACCAAAAGTGTGGTGCCACAAGTCACAGCCGGATGATTTGGGAGCAAGATGGTCACAAGGCGAACGGCGCGCCCTCTCCTTCGGGCCCCATATTCTCAAAACGGAAACCGGACGTAACCTCCGCCGTGAGAGAGGGGAGAACAGCGTCAAGGGCCGGGTCTGGATGCGTTACGGCCGGGGCCGGCGCGGGATCTGGTGTGACATCCGATCGTCGGCTTTGGTCTGATACGGAAAGGTGATGACGCAGCTGTGACGAAGGCTGGGTGTTGTCATTACTGCTGACCAAGTGCGCCACGGTAACAGCTTGGCCAAGAAGGACGTGTCGCAATTGACGGCAATACGGGTATGTTGGGATCGCTCCGGGATCGTCATCATGGCCGGAAGCATACGACAAGCTGGGGGGCCGAGGGCTGGTTGACTCGACAGATCAGATGGCACGGCGGTTTAGATCGGTTTACGCGGCTCTCCTGTCTGTAACACATGACGCCTTGGATGCTATCGGCAGCCGGTCCACTGCAGAATGTGATTTGTGACAAGCCACGGTTCTTTCTATCTCACTTTCGATGTTCAAGCCCCAGTCCAACGAACAGAAAGGCGGGTTTGATCTGTCGGGTGGACAGCATAACGATGGCGCCCGAGGACGAAGGAACTTTTGACGAGTATGTTGCATGGCATGGCAGGAAGCACGAGCTCTGCCTCGGGTTGAGGCGCTGAATGCATTCGCACATGAATATGGGACACAGCCAGCCTTCGGCGAGACGGGGCAGCGCAAGCCCACATCCGGCCCCCCTCGCCGTTACTTCGTTGGAAGACGAGTAGTCCACGCTTCCCCTCCACCCGAAACAGGTTCTGCATCGAACTTTCGCGCGGGTGAGATCTTCACCGCCGGATATCTGATCGGTTGAATCTGTGACCGGGCAGCAGACATCTTTGGTCAGCCGCATGCATCTTGAGCCGGTCCCTACAACTCGGACCCATCGATCCGCGGCCCGCGACGCAATGTATGTCCGATGCGGACATGCATCCTGTTGTGCACCGCACTTGCATGAATTCTGCTAGTGTCCACATGCTGGCCGAGTCAAAATACTCTACGCAGGGTCCGGGGAACAGAACATTCATGCCCTGCCTGCATCAAGTATGCGATGCGGCCGAGAGCTCGAGGCCCCTTAATGCTACTTTGATGCTCGTGGCACGGGTCGTTGTTCGACCGCGGAGGGCGCTGCTGAGGCTTCAACGGTTGTGGTTTCTACTCTCAATAACAACATTCACTTACACTAACTACGCCTTTAATCACAAAAGCAAACACTGGACGGGATAAGTAGTATTGAATGAACTGAAACGGCGAATAGCAAATGGCAGTACTCTACGAGAAAACATCACAAACCGCTCCAGCCTCGTGCTCCTCGCCACAAACGCCCGTCAGAGACCGGCTACCAGGAAACCGAAACGTCATCTGCCGTCGCACCCGCCGGGATCACGTCCACGACATCAGCTTCTGACAGCTCCCGTGTAACGTGCATGCTCCTTGAGCATCATCCGATCCCATTCTGATTCTGCACCGGAAGAAAGAAAAAAAAAATTGAAGACACATCATCACTGCAAAGCAACCCCCTTGAATCCGAATCCGACAACCATCCGAACCATCCCCCCTTCGTCCCTCTCCAATCCCCTCTCCACCTCCACAAGAAAGCAAGTCCCTCCCCTTCTTTCTTCTCCCCCCTCTCTCACCACGCAACCTCAGCCTCCGTCTCAATGAAATGAATCCGAGAAATCTCTCTCAAAGCCCCACGTGGCCTGCCACCGGAGGAGGGGGGCGGGGCGGAGCATTGGGGTAAGGTAGCCGCGGATCTGGACGCCTGCATGGTGCTACTGCACCGGCCGCTGGGGGGACCCGTTAGCAGTCGGGACCCGGCATGCCGTGGACGGCGGTCGGGCAATGGGGGGGCGGGTGTGGGAGTGCGGGTGCAGGAGGGACAGGGGTTTGGAGGGGTGTTGGTGGGTTTTTCTTTTTTGTTTCTTTCTTTTTTTTTCAATCTTGGTCGTCTTTTTTTTTTTTTTTTTTTGTGTCGTGGGGGGAGATAAGAGCGGAAGGATTCAGTTGGGTGTTGCCATCTGACATGTCAGCCCCTGGTTTGTAGTTGCGTGTTGCGACGTGGAGCGCTTAGGGGTAGCCCTGCCCTCTCCCCCCCTCTCAACTGTCCTGCCTGTTTTGCAGCGGCATTCTCACGGCATCTCGGTCAGAAGTGTGTGGGTGGTCCATAATCGCCGTTGGTAGGGAAAAGAGACCGCGACTCACTGTTCGTGATGCCGTTGGTAGTTTACCTAAATACATGTATCGGCCCAAGAACAGGCACACTCATGATTTCGGCTCCGGGCCCTGCCTCAGGGCTCCGAAGGGGGGCCGGACAACCGCACTATGTCGAATACTGCCGTTTGTATTTCGGGCACTGTTCGGGATTCACGTCACTGCCCGCCGTTTATCGATAGCCATCCAGGACACCAGGCAGCCGGATTGTCCCCCGCAGCGTTCCATGCATGCAAGCAGGCGCGCAGCACGGTGAGACCGGTCCCGTGAACCAGGTTTCCGAGGCCGATCCAATCTCGATCGAGCGGCATATGCCGGGTGATCTGCAACCGGGGAGTCGTGGGCCCCGGGCATTTTCGTGATTTCATCAGTTATCACTGTGGCCAGAGCAATGCGGACAGCCCGTAATTAAGCGAGATCGTTGACTTGTTGGAATCTGAGACATGACAGAACGCCAGACGGGCATTATTATGAGCAGATTTCCCATTTTCCATTTTGAGCCGGGGCTGAGTCGCCGAGACCTTCCCCGCTGAGGGAGCTTTGAATTTGAGGGCACTATTGCCTCGACCGCTTCGTACGACATGACAGTTCAGGGCCCGAAAAGCCAAGGGGTGCGCCAGGGCCAACGCTTTCTTGGTTGGGGATAGGGCGGGTTGTGTGGCTTGAACCTTGCCGCAAGAAATGGCCGTATCCAACGGTCTGAGGGAAGATACCGAGATAATCTGCGCTTCAGCCACAGGTTGCAGATGAACAGCCGTGAGGAGCGCCAACGGTTACTCGCAACAAAACCCCAGTCGGGAATAGGTTGTCAGCCTTGCAGCCCATGGGTACCAGTGACGAAAGGAGGCCGCGCCACGCGCGAAATACATGACTCGGCTGTTGCATACGACTATTCACACACCTCCTGGGTCTCGACCCGAGATCTGCATCACTGCACACCCCTACTGGGAATCTCCGTCTTTACCAGGCCGCTTTCATCGTGGGTTCTTATTAGCTCCTAAATGGGCTAGTTATCACAAGAAAGTCGACACTTGCGTAATCATTATTAGCCATTTTCCGTTTTGGGATGCCACCAAGGTATTAGTCAGCCCAAGCCAGGTGGTTACTGAAGAGGGTAAGAAGGGGATTGAAGGTTACCACCACCATTGGGGCGACCGACGCCACCTTTGGAGACTACCGCTTTGAGGAGTGACGCTGTTAGCCATCGTACCACGGCTGTTTCTGCGGCTTCGGCAACGCAGGAACATGAGGCGCCAGGGAGATCCTCCCACCATAGCTGGCAGCTGCCGGATCCGTCCATCAAGGCTCTCAAAATAGGTGCCCAGTTCGTGCCAGCGCCGTCTGCCCTCCTCCAGGCAACGATGTTTTGGATTCCAACGCCCACCTGCTCAACAAGGCCTGTTGGGAAGGCTGGCTCCATCCAGGGGCTGGTTCTCTCTTGGCTGCATCTGGTGGTGACACCACACAGATCGCCATGCGCAGGAGAGCAGGCGCTGTCGACAGTGTACGTGATGTCGTGCAGAAGCCAGGCCATACCAGCGTCCGGTGCCGAGTGAGCCCGTTCGTTGGCAGTCTGTGGCGTTTCGGGGTCCGGCCGGCCATCAATCGGCGATGCGGGCATCTAAATTGGGATCTTGGACCCCGAATGTAACATCTGCCACGAATCGACCCTGCATTCGTATGTTCACTTTCCGTGGAGAATCCAGCCCCGGCAGAAGGTTAATCGTTGTTTGCCAGGACTCCCTAGACAGCCCACCAGACTGGTGGGTCTACTGCTGAAAAAAAAGTTCGAAGGGATGATGGGGGCCGTGTTTCGTCGTCTTTAAGCTGGGTGGAAAGCGTGTCAAAAACGGCCACACGTAACAGAGCAACGCACGGGTAAGCCGACCGTTGCCGTGTGTGTTGTGAGCAAGGAGACACCTCCGCCCTCCCTCGGGTTTTGACCTGAGCGGGCGGCGGCAGAATCGGCACCGACATCACAACTGCCGTTGCCCGGAGGTGGCCGCACGGGGGTTGCTCTGTTCCCGCGCACATGACATGAATGGGCTTCCCCGCGATCGTCATCCTTCTCATTCCCGAATACGCCACAGGGAGGCAGCCGGGGGCCGGGGACACAGTGTCTCAGGGACTTTGATCACCCCGGATGGACTGACAGACCCGACCGTGTGGTAACCAATGATGATCTGCTGTTGGTTGCCAAGGTGCCTTTCTCCCTCCCCTGTACCCCTCTCTGGTCACTGCTGGCCCCCCGGTCGAGTCTTGTGAGTCTCCGGCACTGTCCAGGGTTCCGGGGTACCCTATCCTGCTTTTCTCATTGCCGAGAAACTCGACCCCTGCCCACTGCTGTGTGGAAAGAGAGTTGTCACAATTTCTGCCCCAGAAAGAAGACTATCGATCGGCGCTCGAGCCTCTTCGAATCTCAATTCTCAAAGGGGGGATGATCCGCGGATCTCCACGGAGCCCGAGTGAGACACTCCACGCGGATGGTCTTCCTCCCGACGAGAGTGGGTTAGTTACTTAGCGGTGCAAGGCGGGTATCCACGAGCCGGGACATATTCGCTCACAGCAGCGAGTGCTCTCTCTTCGGCTTACGACCTTAAGCGGCTTATTTGTTGAAGCTGTTCCTTCCTCTAAGCCGTAGAGTGACTGCTCTCGAAGGCAAGAGCGGTTGGGTACCAGCTCGAGGGAAGGAGCGGGCTGTGGATCAAACCGATTAGGTGCCCTAAGCCGGCAACGTACCGTCAACCTCCTGCTCACTCGCCTGGAGCTGCTCTTTTTGCTCGAGCCGGGATAAATTCGCTCAAAGCGTAAGCCGTCAAGGTTTTTCAATATCAGCATGCGGCGGTAATGTAGTTAATCGTGTCGAGGAACATTAGCCGCGTCGGGACATTGCAACGGCGGCACGGCGCCTAACAGTATATCGCGAGTGCGATATTAACGCGTTGGCGACACAAGACCAGTTGGCAATGCGTAATGTAACATTGAATGCAACTGACCAGACCCTTTTTTCTTGTCGTAGTGTAGAATGCCACGCTGCTCGGGTGCAGTCTTCCACACGTCAATAATCCCAACTTGAAGGTTGCCAGCCCGAAAGAGTCGCCACAGGGCATGGATCGCAAACGGAGTCCGTACACCGGGCCCATTGGCAGCCGACTCGTTCGGACGCATCGGATTCTGGCCCTTTTCGTTGGGTGCTGGTCCACCACCCCCTGGCTATGGGGCGTCGGCTCCGCCGTCACCCACAGGGTTAGAAATAATGGCGGTACTTCGTAGTCCCATCCATCCCTGGCATATCGCAGCAGCTTGATTGGTGATGGCGCCATTGGCGGCGGGAGTTAACGTTGGCTACATGGGACCTTCCTCGAGCCAGTCTCACTCGGCGAGCATCCGTGAAAGTCATGAGACAAGAAACGGCCACTGCTACCGGCCCGCAACCGTCCAGGACGCCGCCCAATGGTTTTCCACGCTAGGGCTGTGACGCGGCTGTCCAACACGCCTGGTGGCACAGCATGCATGGTTGGAGGTCTCAGGTCCGGGGAAAACCCACACAGCCACACTCTGAGTTGAGCCTCTCGCCCTTTCTTCAGTGTTTCTGAAGCATACGACAGATCTTTATTGGTTAGAGCACCGCAAAGAGTCGAGGGATGGGCGAAAAAAAGGACACGAGCTGCAAGAATCTCGAAATAGTGCCCACCACCATGAAACGCAGAAAAATAGCAGCCACCGATCGTGTTTCAGCTTTTCTTTACCCCGTGATCCATTGTTCTAAAATTTTTCTGGAAGCTGTCTATCCATTCCAACTTCCAAGTTCGCCGCCATTACGCCGACATGTTGCAGATGGTGCTGCTGTGACACTGCAGTTTATTTGCTGTGGCTCCAGTCTGCAAAAAAGGGAAAAAGGGGAAGGCCGGCACAAAAGATCAGCCACATACCACGGGGCTTCCCGCCATCCAGAACAGGATGGATTTGAGACATGATTAACGAACTGTTCTGTCAAGGCTCTAATTCTTATTATTCTTTATTGTTATCCCCGAAACAGGATCTCAACCGCCCAAGACAAGCCAAGATCTTGACCCCGACTTCAATCTGCCGTTTCGTGACTGCCATCTGCTCGAAACATGCGGTTGCACAACAAGATGTCAGCATGCTTAGGGCAGAGAGATGATCATTTTTGGTGTGGGAGCCCAATGCTTGGATCCGCACTTCTGCCTTGCAATGCCGTGTCCTGAGCGGAAGCAACAGATCTTGAGAGCTTCATCGTTCCAGGGTAGAATAAAGAACCAGCTGGCTAACCTGGTCATTCGCTCTGTTCATGGAGATCCCTGTGTGATAGAAATTGGCTGCAAGAAGGCTCTGATTCGCTGCCCTGCCCAGGAACAACTTTGGATGCATCATGCACATTCCAATCCGCCGTGCCACCATCGAGATCATCCCCAGATCAGCTAGGCAGCGATTAAACTCTTACGATCCACTCACGCGCCATGCATGCACGGAAGAATTCCACCGCAAGCCGGCACCGGGTTGACCCACCGCCTTGAGCCTCGAGATGGTGTGAGACAATCGGCCTGGGGGTTGGCTGGAAAGTGGCTGGCGGACCCGAGGTGCCACCTTCTGGTGACTGTTTGCAACTTTGAACATCCCCCTGACGTGCCGCCCCATTTTGACTCGTCGACTGGCGCCGCACTGCTGTCCTCTGTCAAAGCATGCTGGTGACCCCCCTGCCATTTTCTTCGCTGTTGGCTGCATACCCCAACAGCATCGCATTAGGGTGCATCACAAGAATTCAGAACGTTTCCCTCCTCTCAAACGGCGCCGACAGGTTTCGGAGAGGGCGCAACAGCTGCCCCTTTGCTCGGGAGACCCCATCAAGGCAGCCACTCGGGGCCTCCATCCCTTCTGCCGCGGCCAAAGGCAGGTGCTGTCGCTGCTAGCCGCCAGACGAATCATATTTCTCCTGGACCAGGCGTGGCTTGCGAATGGCATGGGCCAGGATCCGACACCTTCTTTCGGGTCTTGGCGGCGACCAGAAGATCCGACTGGTGGTGGGAAGGTCGAAGAGCAAAGGGGGACCATTGGCTGCCGGCGCCAGCCGACAGACTGAGGTTAAGGTAGCCACCATGACTCCCCACAGAAGTCTGACCGCCATGGGGCATTGGAAGCTCGTTTTTTACTAAAGCTCGGGAATTTACTAACTAGAGCCCGACCAGGACCCACGCACTGAAGGGGCGAAGCTCATTGTACTGTGTAAGAAGGGCAGCTCCATTTCTATTCTGGGCAGTATGGCACGACCAGCTCGTCGTCCGTACGCTCCATGCTGCAGCACAATGCATACCGTAGTGACGAACAAAGGACACAACAACAGCAATAACAACAACAACACTTGCTCTCCCGTCCGCTCAGCGCATACGTGTAAACCCAGGCGCCACCCAACGGCGTACTGCGCCATGGCTATCTTCAGGGCGCTGTTGTGCAACAAGAGGCGGCAGTCCCTGGCGCGGCTCCCCGTTCTTGAGCGCCATCGAAGTCCCCAGCAGCCCCAGCGCGCAAGTCACGGCCACCCTCTCCCCTCTTGCGGTGGTGTTGGGATAACATGACTGCCAAAAATCAATAATTGCAAAATAACAAGCTCATGCTCCTGATCTTCGCGGGGGTGGAGAAGGGAACTATCGAATCAACAATACAGGTAACCAACAATCCAGTCCAGTCCCCGGAACAAGAACTCGACAAGTGACAGAACCACCCAAAATCCCATTCCTTTTTCCCCTGCACCCCCCCGCACACGCCGGTTCCACCACCCATCAACAACACCACAGAAGCCTTGTAATCGGATGCCCCTCCCTCCCTTCCTCGGGGGAGGCCCACCGCCGCCTGAGTGCATAGCAGTGATCCCCGTCCACAACCCCGCGTTGCTGAAGACCGGGAATGCCCAGATCACCGCCCAGCCAGTCCCAGTCCCAGTCCAGTTGAGACAAGGGATAATGATGGCTGAATCCACCAGACAAGACCGGCCAGCCCACACCCAAAGACCGCGGCGGAGAAAGATCGAACGGGAGGGGGAAGACGCCAAGTGGCAAGGCGCTCGCTCGCTCGCTCGCTGGCTGGGCAAGTAGGCGAAAAAAGGGCGACCGTGCTGGGATCCAGGCGCCAAAAAGCGCAGGAATTCGATTCGGTCGCCCGGCGCCGTCCAACTCCCGTCCCGCCCGGGGTACCTGGTTGAGGTACCTGCCTACCTTGTTGCCGGACGGACCTACCTACCTGCTTGGGGTTGAGCTGCGCGTTGCTCTCTTGTTTCTTGATCCGGCACACTGCCTCCGTCTGTTCATTTCTCCGTTGGCAGGTAGCATATGTAATGTGGTCGTCGAATTTGGCAGTGATCCGTCAGATGAAGACGTGCAAGAAAGCCAAGTAGGGACCGAAAGCGTGAGATTCAAATGCGTCTATGAGCTATGCAGTGTAAAATCGACATTAACTACCTATTCAGACACGGATTATTGCGTTGCTGCCGCTTGCCTCTCCGTCCACCACCCCGCGTCTCTCTCCATTTTCTTTGTGTCCGCCCCGGTGCCAGTGCCGTCAAATTGTCAATAAAGCCAACCCCAACCAACCAACCGCAGACCAAAAGAAGAACCCGATCAGCCAACCATAACCGGGGGGTATTGTCCCTCGCAGAGTACCTAGCAAGTAAAGCAAGCAAGGAAGAAAAGATGCCGGGACAGCGCGCACCTGCAGCGCGCGGTATCGTAATAGTACAGTGGGAAAAGAAAAGCCAAAGAACAGACATGACATGCCGGATTAAGCAACCCGCCCGCCCTCTCCCCGTCTCCTCCCGGGTCCAACCATGTAACAGATCGAGGGGGGGAGAGAGAAGGGAAGAGGAAAACCCCAAATCGAACACCCACCCACCCCTAAACCCCCAACCAGTGCAGCCAGCCAAGCCAGCACATGCCAAAAGCGTACATACCAGAATGAACCGAAAGAAACAAACCACACATGTCATTAACATTAAACCAACCCCCCCCCTGCCCTGGCAAGGCCAACGGCGGAAGATCAACAATCCGTGTCAAGTCGACCCAGCGGATCCCCCAGGTTCCAGAATATCCCATCTCAAAACCCCTGCCCCAGCGTGTACCCTGCAGCAGGCACCGTAACGCCGTCCTCTCCACATTGCCCCATACCCTCTAACCCCGCAACCCCACTCGCAGTAGCCACCCAGCCCTGAACTTGCTGCTGCTGTTGTTGCTGAAGGTGGTGGTGATGGAGCTGCTGTTGCTGCTGGTGATGATAGGCGCCGCCATCCGTGTCCATCGCGTCCGCATACACCTCCGGCATTGTTAGGGGGTAGCCGTTGGGCGTGACAAACGGTAGGCCGTGGGTCTCAGCGCCGTGGGAGGCACTGTGGCTGTGGTGGTGATGGTGGTGGTGGTAATTCCCCGGGGGCGGGGACACGACGCCGCCGGCACTGCCACGGAGGTCGGGGAGCAGCTGGCCGTAGGGGGAGTGGTGGTGGTGGAGGAGAGGCAGCGGTTCCGGTGTGACGGGCTCGTTTAATGCGGTGCCGGGATCGCTGGAGGCGCGGGCCATTGTTGTGGTTGTTAAGGCGGGTGATGTGTGGGATGGGAAGAGTTGCGGGTCGGGGTAGTTGTAGTTGAGCTCTGTTCCGCTGCTGGCCCGGTCCATGCTCGGGGCTTGGACAGTAGGGCTGTGGTGGAAGAAGGACGTCGGCCCGCCATAGGGAGAAGGGGATAAGGAAGGGTCGTTGATGAGGTGGAGGAATGGACCTCTGGTGGCACTTTGTTGGTGGGGCGAAGGGGGGAAGTGGTAGTGTTGCAACTGAGGTTGGGTGGAGGCGGCGCTGCTGTTGCTGCGGAGGGACTGGCGGCTGCCGCGGGGAATCCGGCCTCCCTTTCTGCCGAACGAATGGTGGTGGTGGGCGGGGTAGCTCCGGTACACGCGCGAGGAGAGCCCGGCGTGGCTGGTGGCGCTGCGCCGGGATTGGTTGTCTTTGCGGTAGCGCGTTGTGCTCTGCACGCCTGCGACAGCCCAGGGTTCGAGGAACCACTCGGTCGACTTCTTTGTCTCGGCGTGAGTAGTAGGGTTCGCGGACCCGTTTTTTGTATCGGCCGTGGTGGTGCTGTTCCTACGATCGCGCTTGGTGAACGCCTGGACGTTGTTAGTGGTTGCTCACGGGAAAGTGTGCGTGCTTTGCCGACTCACATGGTTCATGCTCAGGTTGTGTCGGATGCTGTTTTGCCAGCCCTTGTTGGCGCTTTTGCCCCTATCCGTGTTCTCGCGGAACCACTGGTAGATCTCCTGCAAAGTCATGGCTTGCCGCGGTGTGCTCAGGAATGCGCGGTAGATGAGCTGGGCGTATGGAGGTTCTTCGGGTTTCCCTCCGCCGGGTTGGACCTGTGGAGCAGAGCTTCTCTTGTTGCGAGGCCGGGTCTCCGGGCCAATGTTGACCAGCGTCGGAGCTTGGCTGTCCACATCATCATCCAAGCAAATTGTTATGTCATCCATCGGCATTGAGAGTGTCGTGCTGCAGGGCGACAACGGGTTTCCGCTCTCGGGGGTTGAAGGGTATCCGTCTCTTGGTGATGTGTGATACCCGGCTGGGTACGGCTCGGTTTGGCTTCGAGCACGTTGGTAGTCGTTGTCTGCTCCGTCGAAGGATTGGGGCGCCACCAACGGCATGCCATCAGAGGAGAAGGATGTTGGGATGTCGTTGCTGGAAAGGTAGCCGGGGAGCTGCGAGTCTAGTCCAGGATACCGGCTGTGGAGTTGCTCCGTTGCTGCTTCCCACGGCGTTGGGCCGAGCTGCTCTGGCGAATCCCAACTGCGCGGAGAGGACTGATTTGAGCTAGCTGTCTGAGGGAGGCTGCTGAGCGCGGGAGAGCCGTGAAGTGCGTAATTATCCAAATCGTCGCTGCTAGTCTGCGATCCCAGACAGCCATTCCAAAGACTTGGGATGTAGGCCCGATGGCCGCCATTGTCGGGGTTCTGTAGCGCGCCCATCCCGGCAACAAGTTGGTGGTCCGCCTGGGCTGAATCCGAAGACGCACTTGAACGGGACACTTGCTCCGGCGAGGAGATATAGAGGGCTCCCATGCTGGGAAGCGCCGCCATTTGCGTGGCGATTGCGATTCGGGATGGTCCCTTGCGAGAGAGGCGTGATCAAAGGATGGGGGGCCGGTGGACAAGCTATGAAGGACAGGAGTCGGGCCACGAGATTGGTGTCTTGCTCAAGGCAACGAGGACAAAGAGGTGCGAAGTGAACAAGGCCGGAGGGAGGTGTGCGAGAGGGGACAAGAGAAGTTTGATGTGCCAGAAATCCTCGTTGGAGTTTGGGCCGGCCGGGGAGAAGTAGTCAGTCCTCGTTGAGGATCAAGGCTGATCTGTTGGTCGGCGAATGGGATGGGCTCCGGGAGTTATCTGCCAGCTGCTGTCCAGAGCCCGGATGGGGCGATCCCAGGCAGGGGTTATGCAGATTGCGGGCGACTTGTAGCTCGGTACCTTCAGCAGGCCCGGGGGCCAGGATGTAACGGCGACTTGGTGAGCTTCCGCGGCGGGCGGGAGGGCAGGGGTGTTTGAAGACACTGATGGTGTAAGGTTGACGCTGCCAGCTCACTGACAGGTTGACCGGGCATCTACATCAAAATGCCGGAGCCGGCAACGTGCCTTGTGAGTACCATGCAAGTCTGCACCACCAGCGTGTGCGTGGGGACCGGGGGATGGGCGAGATGCCACCGCCGCGTGCTCTGGGGAGGTACCATGTACCAACTGGTCCTGCACTCGTTGAATGTGGGCCGGGGCGTATTGTGTATGTACACCGTGTGGCTGCGTGGTCTGTACTTGTTGCTGCCTTGTGTGGTGTGAGGAAGAGGGGTGTGTGTGTTTCTGTGTGTGCGTATGTGCTAAAAAAGGGCAGATGCAAACGCAGATCGGGCGCCTGAGGCTGCCCCAAGCATTCCACAATTCGGGGATGGTGTTGTCCAGATCGGTTCGAACAGCCACGGCCTGGGGGGCGTCGCTCTGATCCGGCCAGCCTCGCAGCCCACGGGCCTGGAGCACAGTAGGAATATGCCGTCCCCCACATGCCATGCAGCACACTTGCGCCGACCCAGGCTCAACCGGGATGAGAAGTGAGAAGGCGACATGAGATCGCCCTGATCCTAGCTCCGACCCCGGTCCCGGCCCTGCCCCCGCGAGTGGAACTTCCCGACAGCATTTACCAGCCAGCATCTCTTTCGCTGGTGGGGCACGCAAGAGTCCGTCCCTGAGCTGTGAGATGAGGTTAGGTGGTGACAGTTTCGTTTGCCCATTTCTCAACACCGTCATTGCCAGCACTAGCTTGTCTCGTTCGAGTTCAGCCTGTGCCCGCCGCTGCCCGCGCATTATTTGCCATTGTTACCCTGCGCCAGTCCGTTCCGTCGAAGCGAACAACTCTGTCGGTGAGGGAGGTAAACTGGCGGAGCAGCCAGGGACAATCCCCGGAAGAGTGCATGTCACCGGCCAAATGCTTTGAAAGGGGCCAATCATGAATGCGGGTTGGAACAGTTGGTCGCTCACGCCCAATGGCGATGCAACGCCTGGGCAGCCGACGGCATCTCGCACCGTGTAAGGGCTCGCGGCAATCTCTGGGGAATCTGGGCTGCAGAACCCGTGTTTCATTCTAGAAGGCTTGTCGAAACATGCAGCTCCAGCATTTGCGCAGTCATCAGAATGCTTGCTATGGGGCAAACAGCAGCAAGCCAGCGGCGGGATCCAGGAACAGCGGCGAAGGAGGGAAGGGGTGGAGTGAGCTTCAAGCAAGCTACATGAACGTGTCGGCAACACAGTAGAAGCCAGTCTCCATTCCGGTGCCTATCAACGGCGGCTCCGTATCCCCGCACATGACCTCCATTCTCAGGAACAAGAGACCAGCCGCCCAGGAGACAGGCCGCCGAGTCGGCAAGGCCACGGAGTGGTTCTTCCGAAGGGTGATCTGCCCAGGCGACGAAATGGGTGGCGCGATCGTGTCGCACGTCCGAATCCGGGAGACAACATCTTTAGAAGTGACGGAACGGGGCATGCGTCGGCGGAAATAAGGGCGGAATGGTGACCTGGCCAGAGGAAGGGGGTCACACAACCAAGGCAAGGCTGGACGTTGTACTCGCATCGGCTCTCATTAACTTGTTTTGTGGCTGGCCGGCAGTGGGACAGTCTGCTGCAGTATCGGCAGAGATCATACGCGTACAACGGCCGGCTCGCTTGAGATGGGGCCTCTAGAACGGGCCGTCGCCGCCTTGGTCGGCCCACTTCCAACTCGGAAGCCGTCCGTCTCAATGTGCAAATCCGGGATTGACCAATGCCGCACCGGCACCGAGCTGCCGAATTAAGTATTTTACTTGCGGTAATAGACCTGCACGCCGTGTTAGTCACCGGTTTGTTCTCGGCATGTCTCGGACGTCTGTCCATTTTCGGTGTTTACATACCTTCTTAAACTGGAAGTGCAGTTGCAGGATACCCTGTGTAGTTTCAAGTCAGCATCAAGTCAGCACTCAACTCCCAGGTTAGTTATGGGCAGGGCGATGCAAGGTTGACAGCCGCGGAATCGACACGCCGTTGACACCCGAGCTAGAGACGCGCGGAAGTGGCGCGCATTGAGAAAGGGATGGGGCAGGGCGGGGGCTGGGCCCGAGACAAGTGTGACCCCTGGGATCTCCCACCCGCAAATGCGGCACAGCAGCATGAGCGAGATGACACGTGAATTCGCTGGACGTACCTTGTCAAAACTGCTCTTGAACCCTCGTTCCTTCTTGGCGCTGTAATCCCATTCCCGGTCCACAATTCGGAAGGCGATATCTTCGTAGGGCGGGCCGGCGATGAAACGGATGAGACATGTGTCCTCCTTGCCCGCGGGGGCAAACGACTCGCCCTTCCGGCGACCATGCTCACGGATAATCTTAAATGTCGGAGCCTTGATCTTGTCGATGAGGTCAGGGTAGAAAACGTTGAACCGATAGCCCTGGACGACCTTTGGTGGCGGATTGTCGTGGTCGTAGTGGGTTTGGTTGTACTTGTTCCACTCGTACCCCATCAGCACGCGGTTGAAGTAGCGCGGCTTCCTGGGCCTGTACTTGTCGGCCCAGAGAGGCTTCTGGATGCCCGGAACTGCTTCTTCCGCGGCAAAGATCTCCTCGCCTTCGCCGACCCCGCGTGCGACTTCTCGATCATATAATGCCTTGGTTGCCTGCGAAAAGTCCTCATTCCCTGCCGACGCAAACCGAGCAGTCCCTGGCGGCGGCGCGCTGGAACTGGCCGGGGCCGCTGTGGTCGAAGCGGCCGGCTTGGTGACGGCTTTACTGGATCCCGACGAGAGATCGGGGACGCCGCCGGAAAATCCATCGGAAGCTTCTAACGCCGACGCCCGTTCCGGATCCCGAGCCCTAAGCATCTCAACCCGAGCCTCCTTGATCACAGCGCACATATTCTTCAACGTGGCCTTGGACTTGTACACTAGCAGGCTCTTTAGCAAGGCCTCCCAATAGTCCGTGTCGATGGCCTCGTCTGACCGGAGCTTGGCCTTGATCTGTCTTTCCAATGCTTCCAATTGTTCCAGGGTCTTTGGACTGAGAATCCGGTCGACGTCGGATGCAACCGAGGTCACGGCTCGCCCTTCCGGGCCTTGTGGTTTCAATTTTTGGAGGCGGTCCGAGCAGAGTGTGAGCAGGGCCGCCCAGTACTCTTTGTTCCGTGGGTTGTGCTCGAGACTGTGGTAAGACTGTACGTCCTCTTCCAACTCCTTTAGCTTGGCTTCATTCAGGCCCTGCACCACGGCCTCTGGGGAAGGTATTTGAATCTCGACGTCGTCTTCGTCGTCATCAAAGGCGTCGCGGTCGGGGTCGATAAAACGCAGGCCAAAGGCCAAATAATCGATGGGCCGGGCGCGCTGCTCGCGGACGCGGATGTCGGATTTTTTCTTGGCCTGCTTCAGAACGAACTTGTCCTCGTCGGCAATGAACTGTTCTGACTGCTGGTCCTGCGTAAGGTACCTGCCGGCAGCGGCTGTCGCGTTATTTCTGGGCGGGGGCTGGCGATAGGGCTTCGCAATTCGGTTCGACGAGTCGTAGCGCGGTGCTGTGATGTCCCGGTCTCTATCTTTGCGCGGTGACTTGGACCCATCGATCATGGCTTGCCGATCAGGATTCATCGTGATGCTGTGATTTTTGTATTCGCGCGATGATGGGGTGACGTTAGGATGTTAGATGCTGCGGGAAAATGTCGGAGCAGGTACGGTGTTGTTCACAATGGATGCAAAGACTGGGAATTCTGTTGTATTCGGCTGACGAGGCAGAAGGAGGTCCGAAGCGCGCTTGGGTTCTGCAAGTTGACAGCAGTTGATAGCGGCTGCCCAGAACAGAGGGAGCGCGGGGCTAAATTAGCTCCTCCGAGGAGCCCTGCCGCTGAAGCTTGGCATTGGTGGGCCAAATTCAACACCATGCCGTTCATTCCTCCACTTCATTCCATCTTCAATCACGAAATTAACAGATTAACGGATTGACGACTCATCGCAACCGGCACAAGCCAATGCGGCACACCGGTTTACCAGCGCTACTCTAGTGATCGGACAGCAGAATGCCGCCATAACAAACACGACACGCCAAGCGATGCCATGTACAGCATCGGCAATCAGGGCAAGATCATGCGCAAGTTGCTAGGCAAGACCACGTCGGACTCTGCCCACGACACACCTTCTCAAGCAGCTATCACTAGCTCGCCTCTTGCTCCCCATTACCGCCCAACTGCATCTCAGGATGCTTTCCATGATGCCGGGGTACCGATAGCCTGCCTCGACCGTTCTCCCGATGGACGGTCCGCTGTGCTCGCTGGGCGCCATGTGTTGAAGACGGTCACTTTCGACGATCTATCCGTAAATGACGGCATCGACCTACGCGCATTACTAATTGCTCAGCCCTCTCAACGGGGCAACATTCCCACCTCAGTCGCCGACCAGCTGTCCATCAAAGCCGTCAAGTGGGGCGAGCCACAAGGGAAGCAGGCCCTCTTCACGGCTGGCACCAGCGGCAAGATCTTCCAGTACGACTTGGTGCGCGCCGGAACCACCGGCCTCGGTTCTCCGGTCGACTGTGTCCAGATCCGGGAAGATTCTCGCCAGGTCAACGCGCTGGACATCAACCCCCACCGGAACTCGTGGTTACTGTCGGGCAGCCAGGACGGGATTGTGCGCTGCTTCGATGTCCGACAGCCCACACAGACCCGGACTGGCGCTACCTTCCGCTCCATCCAGGCGTTCAGGTGCAACGCCGACGGTGTGCACCATGTCCAGTGGAGCCCGCGAGATGGATTTCTCTTCGCCTGCGCCACCGAGCAAGGTTTCGTGCTCAAGTGGGACATGCGGAAGCCCAGCGCCCCTATCCTGCGCATCAAGGCCCACGAAAAGTCGTGCATGTCGATGGCATGGCACCCGGACGGCATCCACCTCGTCAGCGGAGGTCTCGACAGCAAGTGCAACATCTGGGACATGTCTCGACAAGACAAGCGTCAGAAGCCCAAGTGGACACTCTCGACCCCAGCGCCTGCCGGCGCTCTGGCCTGGCGTCCGGGGCAATGGTCTGCCACCGCCCAAGGAAAGCGTGCCTCGCAACTCGCCATATCCTATGACGAAACTAGCCAAAAGCGTTACGGGATAAATGTGGTACACATATGGGACCTCGCACGGCCCACCATGCCCTACAAGGAGATACAAAGGTTCGACACCTCACCCAGCGCCATGCTCTGGCACGACCAGTATCTTCTTTGGACCGCAGGGCAGGACGGCATTTTTAGCCAGTGTGACGTCACGTATGCTCCGAAGGTCATCGACCGCCAGGCCGTATCTACCATGGCCTTTTCCCCTCGAGGTGACGTGCTCATGCTCCTCGACGAGCGCGGCCCTGCCCCAAGGCCCCGACCACATATTTTGCACCACGAGGAGGTCGGTGTGCCGTCTTATAGTTCGAGCCCCACAACACCCAGGTTCAGTGTCAGCCGGAGTGACTCTGAGGATGATGCCATGGGGAGCTTCATAGGACCCAAGCGGCGTGGGAGCCGGAGGCGGCGGCCCAGCACCCGCTCCACAGCCACACTAAGTACGACACCACCAGCGGGTCCGACCACGGAAGAGATTATGTCACTTGAACAGACCATCAAAGCCACCGGCACCTACAAGCCTCAGCAGGCCATGGCGGTTGGTCACGTCCCGTCCACTGCCAACGTGGAAGTGTACGGATACCTGTCCATGAACTACCTCGAAGCACTTCACAAGGACCTGCCTTACTCAGCCGATGCAGCATCCCTGCCTGAGCGGGTTGCAACCATCCTCGAACACTATGCCAGGGCTGCGGCGAACGTAAAGCAGTTTCGGCTTGCGCAAACGTGGCGCATCCTAGCCTATTCTATCGATATGCTGCTTCACAGGCGCGCACAATACCATCTTGACCGCCGCATGGACCGCCACCACTACGCTGCGAGGAGAAATAGCGAAGCCAAGGCGAAGGCAAAGGCAAAAGCATTGGCGGAGCTCTTTGGTGCACCGGCACAGACCACAGTCGACGGAGAGGAAACACCCCGGAAGATCGTGTCCATGGTAAGCTTTGACAAGGCACTGCATCCGAGATCGTTACTGTCTGAAGAGCTTGAAAGCACCTCCAATGTCCCCACCCCGGTTGCGCGCCCGGTTCCGGATGACGCAGGGGTACCACATTCTGTCGAAAGGGAACGTGGGAGGAAGCTGACTCCGATCGTTGAACCCGAGAGCTTCACGCTCCCCCCAGCGGCGCATCCGGCATCGCTTGTTGCACGCAAACGCCTCGACTCCGTGCCGCTCTCCATCGCAAGCCATGATAGCGGGGCGACACACGCGAGCACGGAAGGGTACGACTTCTATGATACCGAAGCCATTCTCAAACCCGTCAAGGTCCCCAGTCCGAAGCCCAAGCCAACTCAGGTGCATGACCACCGTGAGCAGGGATCGCCGGGCACAACCCGGAGGCCGCTTCTTAGGCAGGACTCCGAAGAGAGTTACGTTCATCTTTTTTCTATCTCGGATGAAAGCCGGCGGGCGACGGCTCTTACAACGTCATCCGACGATGGCAGTTTGACAGGACAGGCAGCCCGGGCAGCCATCCTAGCGGGGCTTCGCAAGGGAAAGGACGAGATATCTAGCGACCACGATGACGGCCTAGAAATCCGGCGGTCCTCGAACCGCAACCCTGATATGCCGTTCCGCACGATGCTCGGAAGAACCGAAACGGACATGACGGCCTTTACCGATGAGCATCACGCCATCACGCAAACCACCTCCGACAGCTTTGAGTCACGCTTCCCTTCACAAACGGATGCCGACTTTGTGGTCGAGTCACCGGTGTTGGAAACTCCATCCCACGAGTCCCCCATGGCCCCCGACGACGACCAATCCCCCTTCATCGTCGAGACGGATTATCTCTGCTGGCCTGATGACCACCCATACCCCTACCCCATTGACCCAGCATCCGGCTTCTCAGCCGTCTCACACACCCCTCTCCAGCCCTACGTTCTCATTTCCCGCGCCTTAGCCTTTGAAGCCAAATCCTCGGCCCTCAACGCTTCAGCCATTGTCCTGCTGCTGAAGCCCCTCCTCCCAGACGGCATCATCGACAATTTGCAAGCTGCCGCCATCCTTCGCCAACACCACAGCCGGCTGATGAGCATGAGGCTCTTCGTTGAAGCCGCCCTGCTCCGCAAGTTGTGCATGAAGGGCTGGCCGGGCGGCGCGCTCGCCACCTGGGGCGACAACTACCCCGCCATCTTCACCTGCGCCCAGGAGGGCGTGCAGGCAAGCTTTGCCTGCACGACCTGCCACAAGCCGCGCGATGTCGACCGTACCGCGGCATCGACCGATTCTGTCTGGCGTTGTGAGCGCTGCACAGCCGTCATGGCCCCCTGCGCTGTCTGTGGCGCCAGAGACGCCGTCGCTCCCAGCAGTGTGATGCCCCTGCCCACATCTACGCATTCCAAACCCTGGCAGCAGCAACAGCAACAACCCAACAGTCCGCCCAGCGGAATACAGGACCCAATCCTAGCCACATGGTGGTACTGCCCCGGGTGCGGCCACGGCGGGCACTCCTCCTGCCTATCATCATGGCACGCCACACTCGACTCATCATCATCATCATCATCGGGCAGCTGGGGCGCGCACGCCGCACTGGCCGACGCCCCCGGCTCGGAGCCCACCGACGGCTGCTGTCCGCTCGACGGGTGCGGCCATGCGTGTCTGCCTGCAAAGCCCGGCGCCGAGAGTGTCGTCAGCCGCACCACGGAGGATGTGAGCCGTGTTGTGCGCGAGGCGACTAGGGCGGTGGCCAAGGCCACGGTCGCGGCGGCGGCGGCGGCGGCGGTGGGAA